TCCCCCCCGGTCCGGTCCGATCCCCCCCCCGGTCCGGTCCCCGGTTAGTGGTTGTGGATTTTAGGAGTTTATTGCCTGACGCAGATGAGAAGTTTTTTGTGTGGTTATCAAAAGTGGATGGAAGTCGTGTTAGGATCCATGCGGCTCTGGAGGGTGAGATGGTGTTCCCTTCGGAGCCCGTGTTGCGTGTAGAGGGCCCATTGGCGGTGTGTCAGTTATTGGAGACGACGATTTTGGCGTTGTTGAATTTTGCGAGTTTGGTTGCTACTAATGCTGCTCGATACCGGATGGCTGCAGGGTTCGAAAAATCATTGTTGGAATTCGGATTACGACGTGCTCAAGGGCCTGATGGTGGTATGAGTGCAAGTCGGTATACTTATCTGGGTGGTTTTGATGCTACCAGTAATGTTCGAGCGAGTTACATGTTTGGTCTGCCTTGTTCGGGCACACACGCTCATGCGTACGTGACTTCCTTTAGTAAATATGAGGACATGACCGATATGATACTGCCTGCGAAGGGGAAGGGGAGGATCTCGCAGCCGTTCAGAGATTACTGTCTGGAACTTGCACCGCTTGTGTACGCGCTAACCAACGCTAAAGAGACGGCCGTGTCCGGTGAACTGTATGCATTCGTCAACTATGCCGCGGCATTCCCCAATGGCTTTGTCGCACTCATTGATACCTACGACGTCCTGCTTTCCGGCCTACCCAACTTCCTGGTCGTAGCCATCGCCCTTCACGACCATGGCTATGCCGCCAAGGGCATCCGTCTCGACAGCGGAGACCTGGCATACTACTCCAAAGAATGCCGCGCCATGATGCACCACGTCGCAAACAAACTGAACCTCTCCCGCCGAACCGGGCAAGGTGCTTCACATTCCGAGCACGCGTCCCGAACGGGACAGGACGCTCTACCCGGCCAGGACGCTCTACCCGGCCAGGACGCTCTACCCGGCCAGGGGGAACAACCTCCACAGCCTGACGTTCCGCTGGTGACTTATGGGGATGCAGGGTCTCCCGCCGGCAACGGTTCTACGGTTGCGTTGGGTGGGTCTGTGGATGCGTCTTTGTGGAAGATAGTCGCTTCAAATAGCATTAACGAAGAAGTTCTGCAGTCGCTCGCCCAACAAGACCACGAAATCGACGTATTTGGAATCGGAACTCACCTTGTCACCTGTTATGAACAACCAGCACTTGGCATGGTTTACAAACTCTGCGATATTGATAATGTTCCAGTCATGAAAATTAGTCAGGAAATTGCG